AGAAAAATAAAATGTAATAGAATGAAAATTAATAAGCAAACCGGGGGCTTATTTTATCCAGGTTGATTATGAATAGAAATGTTACTGATAAATCAATGTTCTTCAGAAGAGAATTAACAATTTTTGAAGTCGAGGCTTTCCTCTCACGCCAAATGCAAAAAGACAATCCTTGCCGGCACAATAGGGAAGAAGACAAGGTTAAATTCCTGGATATCCTTACATAATCAATTATAAAGAGTTGTCCAAATCCTATGCAGAACTGAGAACCCCTATGCAGAACTGAGAACCCCTTCTCCGTATAACATAGTTTCAAGCCATATATCATGTATAAAGCTCCAGAAACTAGCAGAAACCAAGCCATATATCATGTATAAAGCTCCAGAAACTAGCAGAAACCAAGAATTTCCATTAATGGACAGGATCAGCAACTTGCCAGACTCTGTTCTCTGTCATATTCTCTCTTTCCTTCCCACAAAACACGCCGTGGCAACCAGCGTTCTATCAACAAAATGGCAATTCCTCTGGACCAACATCCTTAATCTAGATTTCGACAGTTCCCTGTGTTTCAATCCTCGGAATACTGAAAACTCTAAAAACAAAATGAGTTTCCACGAATTTGTCACTAGGGTTTTGCTTCTGCATAATTCCCGTTGCATAAAAACGTTGCTTCTAAAATGTGGGGGGAGCTGCGAACAGCGCCATGTTGATGCATGGATTGGCACTGCAATCTCACGCAACGTTGAAGTTCTTGAACTGTGTGCTTTGATAGGTGTTGATCGGTTGCCTCATCGTTTCTTCACCTGCAAAACTCTCGTTGATTTAAAGCTCGAAAACTATGTAACAATTCGGGTTCCTGGTAATATGTGTTTTCCCAGTCTTCAGAAACTTCAACTCATCTCTGTGAGTTATGATAATGATGAGTCATTTACAGAATTGATTGCTGCTTGCCTTGTGCTCCATGAATTGATAATAAGGAGATCTGAGCATGATTATCTGGTCTTTTGTAATCTATCTTCGCCTGTACTGAAAAGCCTCAAGCTGATTTTTGGGTCTAACGCTTTTAAACCTTATTTGTATAATTACAAGCTGAAGGTGTATGCCCCTGCACTTGAATACCTCCATTTAGATGATAAGGTATCCATGGATTTCTCCATCGGAGAATTGACCTCCCTGGTTGAAGCAGATGTTCATCTCTATGACAATGAATTGGGAAATGACAATCAATATCTCAATTTTGTTGTCAAATTCATTGGAAAGCTCAGCCAAGTGAAGTTCCTATCTCTGTCGATCAATATCACCACGGTATGCTGTAAATCCATTCACATTCCAGTTACTAATTAGAACGTCAGTTTTTTTTTTCCGATCCTTTTTTTT